CCACAAGTGGATTATTTTGCAGTTCTGGTCGCCACATTGCAAGAGGGGCGTAATTGTTCTGGAGAGAGTGCAGAGAAGATTTAGTAGAATGTTGACAGGGCTAGAGAATTATAGCCATGAGGAGAGATTGGAGGGGTTGGGTTGTTTTCCTACAAACAGAGAAGACTGAAGGGTGACATGATTGAGGTATACAAAATTGTGAGGGGTAGAGGTAAGAGTAGACAGGAAGAGCTTGCTTTCTTTGGCAGAGAGTTCAAAAACCAGGGGTCATAGATTCAAGCTAAGTGGTGGAAGGATTAGAGGGAACGTGAGGAAAAGCTTTATTTTAAACGCAGAGGGTGGTGGGTGTCTGGAATTCACTGTCTGAGTTGATAGTGGAGGCGGAGACCCGAAACTTTTGTTAAAAAAAAAGTACCTGGATCTGGACCTTAAGTGCTGCCAGCTGTGGGGCTGCGGGCCCTGTGTGGGACGATGGGATTAGAAAGAGCATCTGAATGTATTTGGGTCAGCATGGACCAGATAGGCTGAAGGCCCCCTTCTCTGCTGTATCATTTCTATGGTTTAATGTTTAATACAGACCTACTTGTGATGTCTATATCTCACTGTTCAATCATCAATTAAAGATCAAAGCTATATTTGTTCCCAAACAGAGTTTCTCCTTCATACACATATGCAGTACAACCCAAAATGACATGCCCATTAAACATCAGTATAAGATCCAACCTACTTCACCTGGTAAAGGAAGAGTTTATCAATTTTGCTTCCAATTTCCACCCTGCTCTCACATTCACCTGCTCCATCTCTGACTCTTCCCTTCCTTTTCTCAACATCTCTGTTTCCATTTCTAGGGAGAAGCTAGTCACCAGTACCCATTAAAAACACACGAACTCCCAGTTATCTTGACTATACATCCTCACACCCACTTTCTAGGAGGACTCCATTCCATTCACCCAGTTTCTCCTTCTCATCTGTTCTGATGATGCCATCTTCCATTGAGGGGCCTCAGAAATGTCCACCTTTTCTCAACCAAGGGTTCCCTGCCACCGAGGTTGACAGGGCCCTCAACCTTATCCGCCCATTTCCTGCACTTCTGCCCTCACCCCCCCTTCCCACCTCTCCCACATGACAAGGTCCCCCGGTTCTCATTTTTTACCCCACCAGCCTCCATGTACAAACAACTGCCATTTCCACCACCTTATGTGGGATGCCACCAACAGACACACATTACCCTCCTTTGTCAGCATTCTTCAGAGACCGTTCCCTTTGGACACCCTAGTCCACACCTCCTCCACTCCTAACATATCCCCACAGCCTTTCCCATGTGATCACAGAAAGTGCAATGCTTGCCCATTTACCTCCTCACGAACCTGCATATACCTTCCAGGTGAAGCAGCGATTTACCTGCACCTCATTCAGTTTACTCTACTGAATTAGCTGCTCACAATGTGGTCTCCTGTAAAATTGGGGAGACAAAACACAGACTTGGTGATTGCTTTCTCAGTCCGCAGAAATGACCCGAGTTTCCAGTTGTCTTCCACTACAACCCACTGTGCTCCTGTGCCAACACTTCTGTCTCAGGTCTGCTGCAGTGTTCCAGCAAGGCTCAATTCAAGCCAGAGGAACAGCACTTCATCTTCCATCTATTCAACTTGTAACCTTCAGGGCTCAACATTAAATTTAACAATTTCAGAAAATGATCATCCATGTAGGTTACCCTTAGCCCAAAGCCCTAGGTCCTCCCTGAACAGCCAACCCATTTTCAAATATTCACACTTCTCGTTTGCTCCTCAGTTGATCATCTCTCTGTTTGCCTATCCATTTCTCCCTCTCTATCTGGACTCCATTCTACTCATTTCCTCTCCCCCAACATGCCAAAAGCAAAAACACCACCTTTTCCCAGCTTTCTTCCGTTCTGACAAAGAGTCACTGGATTCAAACTATTTATTCTGCTTTCTCTCAACTGATGCTGCCAGACCGACTGTGTTTATCTGCTTTTCTTTTTGTCTCACCATATTGGATGCATTTAATAACTGCAAACCTCTCCTCATTGACCTCTCATTTTTCATAAAATTCAGTTCTTCCAAACTCTCCTGTTACAAAAATTCCCCTAACCAAAGGCCTGATGAATCAGAATTCACCCTCCACATGCTGGAAATACGGGCTTGAAATTTCCATGGTTCCTGGAGACAGTTTCATATATAAATCAGCTTCCTCCATACGTGTGATTTTGGTAATGTAGGTGTCTGAAATCTGAAGTGTGAAGATTTGATCTGGTAAGAGCAGATATGGACCTTGTGGATTTGTTTGGGAAGTCAAACTATTCTTTTGGCATGTTAAGGTACTCCTTTAGCTACAATCTTTGGATGCCTTCGGAAGGAAGCTTTGTTTTCAGTCAGAGTCCATCTTTATTCTGTTATTATCGCTTATATGCAGTCATGGGTTGCGGATAGGCTCCACTCGAGTCCATTTGCAGGTCAATTTATAAATCAAAGCACAATGCAGGACAATATAAAGTTGTCATTCAGAAGTCCAGGAAATGTGCACATCAGTCCTTTAAAATTATACTGACATATGGAATTATGTTTCTAAGTATGAGCATTCACAAATCAGACATTTGTAATCGGGGACCACCTGTACTCTGAACTATGCTGTCTTCTCTAAAACTATGCTGCTCCCTTTATCTTGTTCCATGATGCCTTTAATCTCACAATCTCCCTTAATCTTTCCCTGACCTGCCCTTCTGATTCACTTGCTCTTTCTACTTTTCAACAGCATAAAATACACTAATTTTCCACTTCTCTTCCATTTCAAAAGAGTCAATGGATTTGAAACATTATCTGCACAGTTGATGCCAGAACTCCTGAGTTTCTGAAGCACGTCCTTTTTTTTGAAAGAGACATGTCACATTGCCAAACATCTTACTTTACAAGCAACCTCACACTCAGCATTCCTGATTATTTTATTTTCTTTCTCATGGACCTCAGAGGTCTTAGCACACCATCACCATGCGTGGGCCCTCACAGCAGCCATACACATGCAACTTAGACGGAACATTACTCATACACTACTTCAACCAATCCCATCATCATTTCCTCAGGTGTTTCCCATAGTATCCATTTATCACAACGATTTTGTGCACTTTCTGCATTTTAACCAAAATAAAGTAACTTCCCAATTTGTTACTAAGTTTATTGGTAACAATCTTGAATTCACGGTCCCTAATTTGGGTCTTAGCCCAGAAACGGAAGATTCCTTACATTTATCCCATCAAACCTTTTAATAATCTTAAGATCAAGTAACTTGCAAAAAGATGTTCAGCACTGTTCAACACAGCAGGCCAGGCAGCATCAGAGGAGCAGGAAAGTTGACGTTTCAGGTTGGACCCTTCTTCAGAAATAAACCTTGTGGGTTTGTTTGGGAAGCCAAACTATTCTTTTGGCATGTTAAGGTACTCCTTTAGCTGCAATCTTCGGATGCCTTTGGAAGGAAGCTTTGTTCTCAGTCAGAGTCCCCCATTTCTGAAGAAGGGTCCAGACCCGAAACGTCAACTTTCCTGCTCCTCTGATGCTGCCTGGCCTGTTATGTTCCTCCAGCTCCACAGTGTGTTATCTCTGACTCCAGCATCGGCAGTTCTTATTATCTCTTCAGCGCTGTTCAATCCTTTTTTATGACCTATGATCTATCTAGCATCACCCTTCTTAATCTTGCACCCTTGAAAATTTCAACTTAGCAACTATAGAAACAATGGCTGATGAGGGAAAATGAGCTTTTAACTGGTAATGCAGAGATTATAGAAGGGTAGCAACTTAGAACATCATCAAATTACTTAGCAAACAAATGGAATTGAAGGCAGTCAAATTCCAGGACATGATGCCTACATCCTATCGTCTTATAGACTGTGCAGCAGTGGATCCATTGGTTATAATATTCTGAAATTCTCTGGATGCACATAAGGTTCCAATGGAGTGGAAAAATATTAATATAACTCCCTTTTCTTTAACAAAGAGAGGGAGGCAGAAAGTAAGAAACTACAAATCAGTTACTGTAACACTTGTCATTGGGGAAGTGACAGAATCCATTACTAAGAAAGTAATAACAGGACATTTGAAAAATCAAAACACAATCCATCAGAATCAGCATGGTTTTATGAAGGGTAAATCTGGTTTAACTATTTTGCTAGAGTTCTTTGAATCAGTAGAAGTAGTCTGGATAATGGGGATCCTGTATATGTAGTACATCTGGATTTCCAGGATTAAGTATTTGATAAGGAAGGGTTTAGAGGGATATGGGCCAAATGCTGGAAAATGGGACTAGATTAATTTAGGATATCTGTTCAGCATGGATGAGTTGAACTAAAGGATCTGTTTCCATTTCTATTACTCTAACAAGGAGACTTGATTGAAACATACAAGGTTCACAGAGGGGTTGATATGGAGATGTCACTTTTCCTTGTGGGAGAGCCCAGAGCCAGGTAATAATATCAAAGGTTCACCCATTTCTGATAAGGAGAAATTTTTGTCAGAGGGAGGTGAATCTGTGGAATTCTTCACCAGTGGGCCATTAAGTATATTCAAGGCTGAGATAGGTTGTTAATCAGTTAAGGAATCAAAGATTATGTGGAAAAGGCAGGAATGTGGAGTTGAGGATTATCGGATTATCCGTGATGTCCTTGAATGGCAGAGCAGACTCGATGGGATGAATGACCTATTTCTGCTCCCACGAATTATGATAACAGAAATCGAATGGTGAAATTAGGTGTCCTTAACTAGTCAGGGCATGCGATGCGATCAGAGGGAGGATCATTTGATGAGACCTCCAGCATTGGGGTTTGGGGAGATGGGGATCAGAATCTGCAGCTGCCCTGTGCGCCTCTCGGTCGAACCTGAAAACATTCCAACGTGTGTTTTCAAATTTCCTCAGACACCCTACAAAACAGCTCGCGCCAATGAGATGAAGAAGACGCAGGTGAAATGCTCGTGATTGTTTAGATGGGAGCTCACCTTTCCGTCCGACTTCCGTCTGATCTTCTGACACCTGCCGTAAGAACCGGAGCCGATGCTTTCCAGCAGCTCATAATCTTCCAGGCGGGACGGCATTTTTTTAATACGAAGCCAGCGATAGCGAGCATCGATGTCCGGGATGGAGTTGAGTGAACAGTGCAGACTCAGCCACTGACACACTCACGTCCCTGTCTCGATGCGTGAAACAGCGTGCGTGTGTGTGAGTGAAAAAGAGAGAGAGATAGGCCCTTTGGGCTGGGATCGATGATGTTACCGACCAGTCCCTGCCGGAAACGCGCTCAACCGACAAGCGCGCGTGGGCCAGCCCCTTCCACAGGCTTCCTCAGCTCCATTCCGATTGGTCGATCGGCCTCGGCGTCCCGTCCTTTGGTTGGCTCTTGCGAATAACAATCTGTTGCCTTGGCAGCGGCTGGGGGCGCGGGAGCAGCGCGCGAAATTTAAATGCGATCAGCGTTTGTTCGGATTTTCGTGGTTTGATGTTTCCCAACTTGTTTTGTTTATAATTCATGCAGGCTGTTAGTTTGTTGTTAGAGACAAAAACGACCCAATTTCTAAAGTAATATTTCTTTCAGGGTCCAAGCTAAATGGAATCAGAATTTTACTATGTTTCTGGGAAAAATATTGGAATTTATTGGAAAAATGAAAAATTTCAAAAGTGTCAAAATACTTCAAAATAATAGTTAAATAAAAAAATGTGTAAAAGAAGGGGCCACTAAATACTGGTATTAAGCCTTTTGGTGGTGTAGTTCTTTGAGACAAAATAACCCAGAATGTATGTTGAAGCAAGTTCCTTCTTGCCCAACCTCCATGGAGTCATAGAGATATACAGCATGGAAACAGATTCTTCAATCCAACTCGCCCATGCTGATCAGATATCCTAAATAAATGTAGTCCCATTTGCCAGTATTTGACCCATATCCCTCTAAACCCTTCCTATTCATATACCGATCCAGATGCCTTTTAAATGTTGTAATTGTACCAGCCTCCGCCACTTCATCTGGCAGCTCATTCCATACACACACCACCCTCTGCATGAAAATGTTGCCCCTTAGGTCCCTTTCATATCATTCCCCTCTCACCTTAAACCAATGCCCTCTAGTTTTGGACTCCTCTGCCCTGGGGAAAAGACCTTGGCTATTCACCCTATCCATGCCCCTCATGATTTTATAAACCTCAAAAGGTCACCCTACAGAAAATAGCCCCAGTCTGTTCAGCCTTTCCCTATAGCTCAAACACCCCAACCCTGGCAACATACTTGTAAATCTTTTCTGAACCATTTCAAGTTTCACAACATCCTTCCTATAGCAGGGAGACCAGAATTGCATGCAGTATTCCAAAATTGGCCTAACCAATGTCCTGTACAGCTGCCACATGACCTCCCAACTCCTATACTCAATGCACTGACCAATAAAGGCAAGCATACCAAATGCCTTCTTCACTATCCTATCTACCTACTCCACTTTCAAGGAACTATGAAATTGCACTCCAAGGTCTCTTTGTTCAGCAACACTCCGCAGGGCCTTACCATTAAGTGTAAACATCTTGCCCTGAATTATCTTTCCAAAATGCTCCTTGGCCTATTGGCCCATCTGATCAAGATCCCTCTGTACTCTGAGATAACCTTCTTCGCTGTCCACTACACCTCCAATTTTAGTGTCATCTGCAAACTTACTAACTCATATCTCCTATGTTCACATCCAAATTATTTATATAAATGACGAAAAGCAGTGGAGCCAGCACTCAATCCTCGTGGCGCACCGCTGGTCATAGCCCTCCAGTCTGTAAAGCAACCCTCCACCACCACTCTCTGTCTTCTACCTTTGAGCCAGTTCTGTATCCAAATAAGTAGTTCTCCCTCTATTCCATCTGACCTAACCTTGCTAACCAGTCTACCATGAGGAACCTTGCCAAACGCCTTACTGAAGTTCATATAGATCATGTCAACAGCTTTTAAAACAGTAATTACTGCTCTGAGAATTTGAGGAAATGAGCTCCAACACTGAAAATACCTCAAAAAAGGAATAGCTCTTACAGCCACAATATTAGACTTGACACAATAGATGGCTTGATGGTTTAACTATTTAGCAATTTACATTACAAACAAAAAAGCATAATCTGGGCAATCTCAAATAGTTAAGTGATATTACCTGGGTGAGGTTGTTGACTTGCTTGCCAAGCTGGCTTGTTTTCATTCAGATGTTTTGTCACTTTGCTAGGTAATATCATCAGTGAGGCCTCCGATGAAGTGATGTTGTTCTACTCCGCTCGCAATTTATCCTGTCTGGTCCGTTCTGGTGAGTAGTGTCATTTCTGGTTTTGTTCTGAATGGGTTTGTATGGGGTCCAATTCTATATGTTTGTTGTATGTGTCTATGTTTGGCTTGGGCTACTATGGCTATGTTGTCCCAGTTTAATCCGGCATGGTGATGGAACGTCTGAATGAAAACAAGCCAGCTTGGCAAGCAAGTCAACAACCTCACCCACAGCCCAAGCTACAAATCTTTGCTAAAACCTTAAATATTACTTGGATATTTCCATGTTCTGTACAATATCTGACAAAACATCTATATTTTCTACTATTGTTCTGGAAAATAACTAACATTAACAGAAATTCAAATTCTGATATCCCCTTTGAGTTGTAATTAACTATAGGATTTAGGCAACTTCTAACAACGCCAAAGTTCAACATAAGATTTACATTCCTAATTACTTACCCGACTTGCACGCTAACCTTTTGCAATTCAGGTTCAAGGAAATCCTAATCCCTCTTTACTGCAGTTTCTCTCAATTAAATAATATTCTGCATTTCTATTCTTCCTGCCAAAGTATACAACCTCACATTTTTCCCATATTATAGTCCCATCTACCAATTCCTTGTCTATTCACTTTGCAGACTCTTTGTATCCCTCTTATTACATCAGACCATAAGACATAGGGGGAGAAACAGACCATTCAGCCCAAGTCTGCTCTAATATTCAATGAGATCATGACTGATCTGATAATCCTCAATATTTCCTGCCTTTTCCCCAGAACAGTTGATTCCGTTATTGGTTAAAAATTTGTTTATCTCTGTCTTGAACATGCTTAACTATTTTCGGCCTCTATTGCTCTCTATGGTAAAGAATTCCACAAATTAACTACAATCTGAGAGAAGAAATTCCTCCTCATCTCTGTTTTAAATGATGACCCCTTATTCTGAGATTATGCCCTCTGGTTCCAGACTCTTTCACAAGGGGAAATAATCTTTCTGCATCTACCCTGTCCAGACCCTAAGAATTTTGTATGTTTTAATAAGATTGCCTCTCATTCTTCAAAATTCCAATGAGTACAGTCCCTACTCAACCTCTCCTCATAAAGAAGTGCCTCCTTATCCAGGATTAGCCTAGTGATCATTCTCTGGAGTGCCTCCAATGCCATTTTTCATTAGATAATGGGACCAAAACATATTACAGCATTCCAGGTGTGGTATGACTAGTGCCTTGTATAGTTTTAGAAAGATGTCTCTATTTTATACTCCATTCCCTTTGAAATAAAGGCCAACACTTTATCTGGCTTCCCTATTGCCTTGTATGCTTGCTTTTTGTGATTTGTGCAAAAGGATTTGTGAAAGAAAATTGTCTTTTCCATAGGTGGGGGAGTTCAAAACCAGGGGGCATATTTTCAAAACAAGAGAAAAAAGATTTAAAAAGGACATGAGGGGCAACATTTTTACACAGTGTAGTTCATATGTGGAATGAACTCTTAGAGAAAGTGGTGGATGCTGGTACAGTTACAATGTTTAAAGGACATTTGGATAAGTTCATGAATAGGAAAGGTTTGGAGGGAAGTGGACCAAGCACAGGCAGGTTGGACTAGCTTAGTTTGGGAACATGGCCAGTGTTGACTGGTTGGACCGAAGGGTCTGTTTCAATGTTGTAAGATTCTATGACTTGCAAGTCCCTCTGTGCTGTAATTTTCTGCAGTCTTTTTCATTTAAATAATATTCGGCTCCTCCAACTGCCAAATTTTAGCTCATTTGCATAACTAGTATACACTTTTAAAGCAATTTAAACAGGTTAGACAGCCCCTGGTTGGGCACTATAACAAAAACAAGATAATCGGTCAACTTACAGAACAGAAATGGAATCTTAACAAAAGCAAATCAAAATATCATTACCAGGGTGATGATATACTCCAACCCCTCGGTGCCCACTGGTCTGTAAGGGCCTCCACTATGCCAGTGGTCACCACATGCCCTCTCTTGGTGGTCAACCAAACATGGACATAACCACAGAAGAGGGGCAGACAGTCAGGTACTACAAGCCCCTCCCTGGACCTGTTGATTGCCAATTTGGCCAGGCCCAGGGGATCCTCTAATCTCTGTCACACACTGACACACACGCACGCACACACATACACACACACAGTGCCCTATCGAACACAACAAAAAAAATTAAAGCAGCTCTTTTAAGAAACTAAATAGGGACTGCGAGGAAACATAAACATGAAACAGTTTCCTCCAGGACTTAACCTACTGTGTTCCTCTGCAGACTTTGTGTCATTCTCCCCATTTATCTTCCCACCGATTTTGTATCACCCTCAAACTTGGCTACAGTACATTGACTTTCCTCATCAACTCATTAGTATTTATTATATAAAGAAAAGTGGCTGTAACACTCCATTAGTTACAGATTGCCATCCTACAAATGCCCCTCCATCCCAATTCTCTGACTTTTATTAATCATCTATCCATGCTAATATACTACCCAAGCACCATGGGCCCTTAACTTATTAAGTAGCCTAATGGGTTGTACCTTATCACACACCTTCTGAAAATCCAAATACGTTACATCTGGTTCTTCCCTTTTATCTATCATTCTCATTGCATCCTCAAAGAATTCTAATTATTTTGTCAGGCATGACATCCCCTTCATGAAACCATGAGGATTCTGCTTAATTATATTATGTATTTCTAAATATTTTGATTTTACATCCACTATAATAGACTAATGTTTTTCCAATAACAGATGTTAAGCTAATTGGCCTGTAGTTACCTGTATTTTTGTCTCCTTGCTCACTTAGCATGCAATCATACAGCATGGAAACAGACCCTTCGGTCCAACTTGTCCATGCCAACCAAGTTCCCAAACTAAACTAGTCACATTTGCCTGCATTTGGCTGATACCCCTCTAAAACTTTCCTATTCATGTACCTACCCATATGACTTTGAAATGTTGTAACTGTACCTGCATTTACCACTTCCTCTGGCTGTTCATTGCACAGATGAACTACTCTCTGTGTGAAAAAGCTGCCCCTCAGGTCCTTATTAAATTTTTCTCCTCTCACCTTA